TTTTTTTTGAGACAGAGTCTCAAGCTGTCGCCCTGGGTACAGTGCCATGGCATCACAGCTAGCAGCAACCTCAGATTCCTGGGCTTAAGCAATTCTCTTGCCGCAGCCTCCCAAGTAGCTGGGACTACAGGCACCCACCACAACACTCAGCTATTTTTTTGTTGTTGCAGTTGTCATTGTTGTTTTAGCTGGTCTGAGCCAGGGGTTCAAACCCGCTAGCCCCGGTGTATGTGGCCTAACCACTGAGATACAGGCACCACCCTAAAATAAAATTTTAATGACATGGAGATGTTTTAGAATAGATTTAAGTGAAAAAAACAATATCTCATATATAGGATGTTCAACTATGCAAAAATATAAGGAAAATCTATAAGGAAAGGCACAAAAAAGGTCAGTGTGGATATATTTCTATTTTTCTGTATTTTCCACGTATTCTACAAGATCATGAATTACACTTTTAATCAGAGAAAAAGAATGTTATAGAAAAACCAGATGTCTGCCACGGTAGTCACATTAAACAAAAAGAAAGCTTAGGTAACAAACAAAACTAAGAGAAAAAAAAAGGATCTGATAAGCTTTGAGAAAACAAGAGTAAGGTTAAGGAAAAGTAGAAGTTACTTCCCCAAAGGAAGTGTGGCCTTGATTATGATGATCATACCCAAAGTTCATCTGTTTCTGATGATTTTGCTATGAAGGTCTATAGCTATGACTTCACCAGTATCAGGCACTAAGAAAAAAAAATGACATCACGCCTGTAATCCTAGCACTCGAGGAGGCTAGGTGGGTACACAGTTTGAGCTCACAGATTTGACACCAGCCTCAGCAAAAAGGGAGACCCCCATTTCTATTAAAAATAGAAAAACTGGGCAGCACCTGTGGCTCAAAGGGGTAATGGGCCGGCCCCATATGCTGGAGGTGGCGGGTTCAAAACCCAGCCCCAGGCTCGGCGCCTATAGCTCAACCGGCTAAGGTGCCAGCCACGTACACCTAAGGTGGTGGGTTTGAATCCCCAGCCCGGACCCACCAAACAACAATGATGGCTGCAACCAAAAAATAGCCGGGCGTTGTGGCGGGCGCCTGTGGTCCCAGCTACTTGGGAGGC